CCATTCTCCCTTCCCCTAAACCCTAGGGAAACTATCACTCATTTTCTAACTCTGGGAACTGGTCTATTCTAGGTACTTTATAGAAATGGAATTATACAATATTTGCTTCTTTTTTTTTTCTTTTCTTTTTTTTTTTTTTTTTTTGGTACCTGGGATTGAACTCAAGGGTACTTAACCACTGAGCCACTTCCCTGCCCCTTCTTGTATTTTGTTTAGAGACAGGGTCTCCCTGAGTTGCTTAGGGCCTTGCTAAGTTGCTGAGGCTGTCTTTGAACTTGCAATCCTCCTGTCTCAGCCTCCCGAGCCACCAAGATTATAGGCATTATTTGCTTTTTTTCTAACTGGCTTATTTAACTTAGCATAATGCCCTCAAAACTCATCTATGTTGTAGCATGTCAAAATTTCATTCCTTTTCAAGGCCACTGTTTTAGACAGCTTTTTTCTTGCTGTGACTAAAGGATCTGACCAGAACAATTTAGGAAGAAAAGTTTGAGGGCTCGCAGTTTCAGAGGTCTTAGTGCACAGAAGGCCGGCTCCATTCCTTGGGGCTCAAAGTGAGGCAGAACATCAGGGTGGAAGAGTGTGGTGGAAGGAATCGGCTCACGTGCTGATCAGGAAGCAGAGAGAGATCACCACTTGCCAAATACAAATATACCCCAAAGCCACGCCCCAATTCCCCACCTCCTCCAGCCACACCCTACCACTTCAGTTATCACTTGTTAATCCCAATCAGGAGATTAATTCACTGATTAGGTTAAGGCTATAACCCAATCATTTCTTCTCCAAAACTTCTTGCATTTTCTCACACATGAAGTTTTGGGGGACTCCTCACACCCAAACCATAACAGCCACCCAATACTGTGGTATGTATATACCATATTGTGTTTTCCACTTACCTCTCAATGGAAATTTGGGCCGTTTCCACCTTTTGGCCATAGTAAGCAGCACTGCTATGAATACAGGTATACAAGTGTCTCATTGAGATCCTGCTTTGGGTCTCGGAGAGGTGTACTTCTACTCCCACTTTATTGGCCAAAGCACATCACATGGCCCCCTCCTACTTCCAAGCTGTAAGGGAGTACAAATCCTATCATGTGCTACAAGAAACATATGGCAACCACCCCCATTTTTTTCCCCACTTTTGACTGGGAAAAGGACAACTTACTGTTTTATTATAACCTAAAAAATGGGCTTCCCTTTTGTGCRTAAATTAGAAACTCAATAATTATGCCCTGTGTCACTATCAAATATCTTCCAGAAATATTGCCACTAAGTGGAAACAGTGGTTTTATGAAGGACTTCTATTAAGATACCTCCTCAACCAGAAACAATTTCCCTTTTTCTGATGGTTATCCATTCCTTGAGCCAGAGTGTCCAGGTGAACTTTGTGACCTGTTAACTGGCCATGATTGATCTAGGGGGAGGGCACCTGACTCAAATTGGGTCAATTAGACCCTCTTTTTTGGAACTTTGGGATGAATGGTTGGGAAGCTTTAGACTGTCTCCTTGTAGTCGGAGTTGTACCATATAGTTGAGAAGAATTGAGAGATACGTTTCTATTGTGTTACCTGGATGCAGAGAAAACAGGCTTGCAGGGAGAGTTCCAGTGTCTCCTCTTGTTCTGCTTCCAACCCATACAGAAGCCTAGCTGGGTTTTTACCCTGGGCCTCTGAGACCCCTCCACCCAAAAAAGAAAAATCTAGAGTCTCCTTTTATTTTCCTTAAATTGGCCTAGTAGATTACTAGAATTTTCAGCCAGCATACTCCTAACAAATATGTGGTGGTGGTGGTGTGTTCTTTGCCTTTGGACACTGACACAAAATGTTTATAGGTATAGCCCATTCCAGTAAAATAAAAGTCAGGTTGTACTTATATTGCATCGACTATACTTCTGGCAGTTTCTTCCCGGCTTGAGAAAGCTCATGAGAATATGAATGTAAGTTACATTATTATAGGAATCACCTGTAATCTGCTTAACTTGATGTTTCAAAGAAAAATTTGTCTACTATGGTGAATATTATTTGGGAAATCCATTCATTCCAACACTGGTATTTCCTCTGTCTGGAGTCCCTTTCTCATTAACTCTTCAGATTCAGCCCCAAATCACCTCCTCTGGGGAACCTTCCCACACTCCTAAAAACTGTTAGATTTGCCCTTCATTCTGCTTCTCAAAGCAGTGGGCACAGCTATCTAGTGTGAAATACTTTTTTCAGAAGTATTTCTTTACATGTATGTGTCCCCCATAATACTGAGTTCTTCAGGGGTTAGAAGAGTGGGTTTATCTCTATTTCCCTCAGTGTGCCTTCATGGAAACAGGTGCTTTGAAAATTTTGTTAAATAATATTAAATTGAATCAACATATTGTATATATGCTCTCATTTGTTAAAATAAATATTTATTGAGTACCTGTTCTAGATGTCAGAGATGAGCAAAACAACACTTTGCCCTCAGGGACATCAGAGACAATACTCACATCATAAGGGAGTAGGAGAAAAAATAAAGCAGGGTGAAAGGACAGAGTGATGGGGGTTGGGACTTGATATTTTAGTAGTCTAGGAAAGTCTTTCTGGGGAAGTGACTTTTGAGTAGAAATCTGGAGTKAGGGCACATGTCTTCTGAAATCTGGGGGAAGAAATAACAAGGGCAAAGGTGCTGAGGTAATAGTGAGCCTCCATATTCTGAAAGGAGTAGGGAAGGAGGTTAGTGTGGCTGGTTGATGAATGGGAGAGCAGAACGGAAAGAGACACAGTGAAAGGAGTGGGGAAGGGTTAAGTGGGAGAAGTCAGATCACACAGGATCTTGGAGATCCTGGAATAAAGGATTTTGGCTTTTTCTTTGAATGATATGGGAAACCACTGGATACTTTGGTGGTGGGGGGGGAGAAATATGTTTTGACTCAGGTTTTAACAAGATCCCTCAGGCTGTCATGTTGAGAGCAAGGTAGAATCAGGGAGGACAGGTAGGAGACTGTTGCAACATTTCATGGAAGAGAAGAAAGAATTTGAAAGGTAGAGCTGACATCTTTGCTAATGGATTACATGTAGATGATAGCAAGAGAGAAGTCAAGGAAGACCACAATGGTTTTAGCCTGTTATTACAAGGCTAGAGTTGACTTAACTGAGGTAGAGAAGATGTGTAAGGAGCAAGTTTGAGTGTTTGGCTCTGGACATGTTAAAGTTTGACACATTGCTCATACGAATAGATTTGCTGGTTTTCTGGATCTGAAGTTCTAATGCAATCTCAATTTAAAATCAGACTTATTTATTGAACACTAAGATACTGTGTGGAAAGCTTTAATATGTCGTCATTTAATCTTTTCACTCATCCCATTGCTTAGTTACTAATATTGTCCTTCTACAGATGAGAGAGTAACACGTCTAAAGTCACTCAGCCAATTATTAACCAGCCAGATTAATGCAGAGCTGGGATTCCAACGGGGTATGTCAGACTGAAGGGTTCTGTTATTAAGCAAAGACTTCTAAAGGTGGGGACTAAATTTTTGAATATATTTTCCACAAACTTGGGTTTCATAATAAAAAAAAAAAAACATGCCTGGCACATGCGACAGGAGTTCAGAAAAGTGCCCAATGTCATGCTAGACACACAGGGTACTCAGGAGCTATGAAGAAAGTATAGCATTTTTGGAGCCAACGAACCTGACACTTGGAAGCCCAAGTATCTGAAGATTTAATAATGTTAAGGAAGCGGTGATCCTAAGTTTGTTTTGGCTATTACGACCTTTAAGACAAAGAAGATATTAAAAACTGCAGTGAAGCCTTGGTGGGGTAAAAGGAAGACCAATTACCAGGGGACGTTTATTGGGAAACATTGCACTGGAAAGAGCGAGGGCGGACATGGTCTAGGGCCCCTGCCCAGTCCACACCCTTTTGAAAGCGTAGCCTCGCTTGGCCTTCCTTAGGTGGTCCTCTGGAAAGACCAGGATGTGGAGCACAAAAGCCGGGAACCTCTGAGGCCCGGGCATCCGCCCCCACCCCCTCCCCCCGCGTCTCCCGCTTCTCCAGCCTCCACGGGGCCAAGAGCGGGGCAGGCGTCCGCGCATGCGCCCGGGGTAAGGTCCGCTTCCCGCGACGTCAGGGGGCTCGCGCCCGCTCGAAAGCCCCACCCCCTTGACGCCTGAGGAGACCTGGGCGGGGGGCACCGGACCACGCCCCCAACCGAATCGAGCGGGGCCGAGTGAAGCCGAACGTCTCCGAGCGCCGCCGAGCCGAGCCGAGCCGAGTGGCCCGGAGTCGGTTGGTGCAGCTGCGTCCCCGCCGCTCAGCAGTCCGCGGCTCAGGCGTCGCCGCCGCCGCTGCCGCCTCCGCGGGGCCTGCGCCGGCCGCCCGCCCGCCTGCCGGGAGGGAGGGAGGCCCGCAGCGCCGGGAGTGCGGCCCGGCCGCCGCCGTCGCCGCCGCCGCCGCTGCCAGGTGAGCGTCCGCCGCGGCCCGCCGACCCCGTGTGCCCCGGCGACTGTCAGTACCCGGTGTCTGTGTGTTTCTCTGCCTGTCAGCCTCTGTGTCCGCGCGAGCTCCTTCCCGCCAGGCCTGGCCCCAGCCCGGCCCGCAGGCTAGGTCAGCCCCCTCCGCCCGCTGCCCCCTGTCTTTCTGTCAGCCGCCAGCACCCCCATGCTGGGAGGCTCCGCCCCTTCCCCCCGAAGCCCCGCCCTCGCCCATCTGTCATCACTCCCGGCTCCAGGCTCTGGCGCCCTGGGGTCCCTGGGGTCATTGTGGTCCCAAGGGCCACACAATTGCGAAAGGAGCAGAATGGTTGGTGGCGGGTAAGTGGGGTGTCCGCGGGGGCGCGCCTGGCGGTGTGAGAGTGCATGTCTGAGCGCCGCTTGTTTCCACTCCCGTGGGTCGCTGCCCGCTGCTGGGCTGGACAGCCCATGCCTCTGGTGTAAAGAGCATCAGCTCCGCCAGGGAAGGCAGCTGAGCCGGGGCACCAACCACTCGGGGTACAGTAGAATCTTGAACCCTGGGCTGTTGTTTCCCCACGTAAAACACTACACGTGGATCCCAGGTTCCCGGATGCCGTGAGTGGTATGTGAGCAGAGTTTGCGGCTTGTTAAGTTTGGGATTTCATTCAGAGAAACCTGTTGGAAGTGATTGAGGAGTGGGTGGGATGTGGGGCTCAGGTGGAAGTGAGAGCTTGAGTCATTTTGAGTTGCATGGTTTGCATTTCTGCCTTGCAAAAAACTGTTATGGACTGGGCAGGGGCGGGGTGGTGTTTTTATTTATGTCCTGTGAACGCTAGTATATATTTGTAAATGTTTATTCATGAGGCATCCACACATTTTCAATTTAAAAATGGATTACGGCGGTTTCCATTTATATACATGTTCTTGTACGTTGTTATCTTGAGGTTCTTTATTTGTGGTAACTTAGTATTGCAGTATTTCAAAACTAAGAGAAAAATGCGTCCTAAAACAATTGGTATTTTGCCGAATAATTCTCAGCCAAAAGCGCACTTCATTAGCTGGAACAACTTATTTGGGCTTAATTTGTTTCTAAGAGACGTACAGTGGAAAAATCCAAAACCAGCAAAATAGTATCAAAGCGACTTAGAAAATGAATGAAAAGGGCCTTTTTGTTGCTGTCTTGGAAAGATGATATCAAAGTTGTTTTAGGGGACAGAGCTACTATGTAATGATAAATATTAACTAAGTTGGTTTTGTGACCTTGATACATTGAGCTACTCGATTTGTGCAGTGGTTCATGATAGGCAAACATTGCATGGGAAGTGTGGTAGTTTTGGGAAAAAATGTTCTCTGTGTTGTTTTTGGTTTTGTTTTTTATATACTGAAGTAAGATTTCAGACTAGGACAGTCTCATGGTGAAGTAGGTTTTTTTTTAAAGGTAACATTAAAAGTTACAAAATAATTCATATTTAAGACAGAAAACTTGGGGCTGGGGATGTGGCTCAAGCGGTAGCGCGCTCGCCTGGCGTGCGTGCGGCCCGGGTTCGATCCTCAGCACCACATACAAACAAGGATGTTGTGTCCGCCGAGAACTAAAAAAAAAAATAAATAAAAAAAAAAAAAAAAAAAAAAAAAAAAAAAAAAAAAAAAAAAAAAAGAAAAACGAAAATGTAAGAAAAACTCTGTAACCTCAAAAACCACAATATTTATGTTTTTAGTTTTGTTCCCATGTGTACATATTCTTTTCTTGCAAAAAACGCTATCAGACTATAAGAATTTTATTGTATGCTTTGCCCCCTTTCACTTATAAATAGATTATGAGTCTTGGTTTTATGAGTAGGAACTTGTGTTCCCTTTTAAAAAAGTAAGTCTGGTTGTGTCAGTTCTCTGCTTAGAGCCCTCTAACAGCTTCTTATCTTAAAATCTGAAGTCCTTTCTGTTGCCTACTAGGCTACCTCTTGGTTCTGACTTCCAGCCTTGCCAGACTGATGTCTCTGCTGTTCCTTTAAAACTTCAAGCAACTCCTGTCTCAATGCCTTTGCATTTTCTTGTCCTTTTGCTGAGAACTTTGGTCACTGGATATTATCATGATTGACTCCCTTATTACTTCAGGTCTCTGCTCAAATGTAATCTTGCTGTATAAAATATATCTCACCCCCTGTCCTCTCTTGCTGTGCTTTATTTACAGTCACTTATTTGTTTGTTGGTTTATTCTCTCTCTCCCTCATCAACCCAGAAAAGTGAGATTTTTTTTTTTCACTGATGTATTTTCAGGGCCCAGACCTATACCTGGCCTTTTGTAGGTACTTACTATATGCTGAATGAATGAATGTTCATTATCCATCCATTCACATGACCTTGCTGCAGGTCTAGATAGCTATATCATTAGTCTCTTTAAAAGTCCCAACATTTTTCTCCTTTCCATATCTGAGAATTATTTTACAAAGTGAGGTTTATTATATTAAAAAGAGTTATAGTCTTGATTTAACTTAAACAATTAAGGGAAGGAACATTTTTGGCAAATGTGACTGGGTTTCTTTTTTATTCATTATCCCCTGTGTCACACTGGGAATCTTTGTAAAGTATAAGGTGTCCCAGTTATGTTTACAGCTGTGATTTCAACTTGGTTGTTCTAAGTAATAGTATAAGCCTCAAAAGCAGAGTGGGCTTTTTGTGTCAGCAGATACCCAGAGATATAATTATAGGTTTAATGTGTTTTTATTTGGGGAATAGCTGTTATATTTACTTATTTTCTTGGCAGTTCTATCCTTTTCATCTCCCTGCTTATCAGTTTTTGGCTGGCTAGCAGGTACACTTACTTTTTTTATTTAACTTTTTTTTTTTTATTGTTGGTCRTTCAAAACATTACATAGTTCTTAATACATCATATTTCACAGTTTGATTCAATTTATTTAACTTTTAAAGTAAATCCTTGACCTTTTGAGCATTTTACATCTCATGTGCCTTTTAACTGTTTGAAAGTAACATTTCATCTTTCAGGATGAAACAACATCTGTAGTAAAACATACAATTGAATTTTTAGTTATAATTTATAATTATAAGGGTGGGAAAACTATCTTGAGGCAGAATTTTTACAGAGAAGATATAATGTGAGCTTTTTAGAGGTTTGAACTTTAGGTGGACTACTTTTAGTGAGTTTTTGAGAGGAAAAAAAAAGGTGTTTTGTTTTTAAGGATCCTAGTCCAGAGACCTTCAAGACCTTTTTTTTTTTTTTTCCTTATGTTCTAAATATACAAGAATGGTGAGGGAGGGTAGAATACTAAAAGAAATTTTCATTCTTTTTAAAAGCCTAAAGGGATTGTGTTAGGAATTTATTTTTGTTCCGTAGGCATTTGTTGAACATGTATTTGGGCAACTCTGTTTCGTGTGGGTTGCTTAATCGTGTTCAGTTTTAGATTATCAGCCTGCTTTCTTATTCTTTTTTCAGTTCCTTCACTTCTTTCATATTCTGTCTGATCTTATCCAGTCCCAGGATGTTAATACCCTCTGGATGCAGATGACTCCCTCTGCTTTGCCTCCTGCCCTTTCTCTGGTTCTAGACTTGTATTTTCAGCTATGAGGCCTTCTTGTTGTCTCTGCTTCCTGCCTCACTGTTTTCTCAATCTTCACATGTTCAGTATTGATCTCTTAACCTCTCTCTCAAATTTGTATTCATCATTCTTGACCACTCATATCTGTCTCCCCACCAGCCTTCCCTGACTCAGTGTCATTTCTCAACATTCATTGTTCAGGTCAGGTACCTGAAAGTTGTCCTTACTTCTTTTTTCTTTTTTTCCATGTTTTTTTTTTTTTTAATTGGCACATTATAGTTGTACATGATAGTGGGACTTTTTGTTATATATTTGTATATGTACACAATTTAACAATATGATCTGGCAAATATTATTTCCCAGTATTTCCCCTTTCCCTTCTCTCCTCCCTTTACTGGTCCCTTTCCTCTACTCCACTGATCTCCCTTCAATTTTCTTGAGATCCTTCTACTCTACCTTTTTCTTCCTTTTTTCTCTTTAGCTTCCACATATGAGAGAAAACATATGACCCTTGACTTTCTGAGTTTGGCTTATTTCACTTAACATAATGTTCTCAAGTTTTATCCATTTTCCTGAAAATGACACAATTTAATTTTTKATGGCTGAATAAAAGTCCATTGTGTGTATATATAGCATTATATCATTTGTTGATGTAGTTGTCCTTCATTCTTCCTCTTTCTCCATCCCATGTTGAGTCCACCACATGGCCTGTCAGCCTAGCCACCAGAATATTACAGATCCTTCATTCCTCTTCTTCCTAAATCAGCCACCCTCTTCTTTTGGCTGGATAAAGGCAGTCACCTCCTAGTTGGTTTCCCAGCTTCATTCTTACTTTCTTTCTAGCACATTCTCTCATRGCAGCCAGAGTAATCCTACTAAAAAGTAAGATCATGCCACCTCCCTACTTAGTGGCTTCTCACTTTCCTTAGAGTCATATCCACACTTACTCTTGAGGCCCCCACACCCTCTCCCTCTCCCAACCCCTGCTTACTGACACCATGCTTGTCAAGTTGAGTACTGTCAATTTGTTGAATATGCCAAATTCTCTTCCTTTTTTGTGTACCCTCTGCCTGGCATTCTTCTCCCCACCCTTGTCATAGAAAGACCCTTTTCAAACATCCACTCAGCTGAAGTGTCTAGTCCTCAAGGTGGCCTTCCCTGATTATCCCTTCATTATCCATTAGTACACATGCAGTTCCTGCTTTTAAGTTCATAAAAATTCCAAATATTTTATTTATATGTTTGTTGCTTTCCTTAAGTGGTGAACTCTCCCAACAGACTACAAAATTTATGAGTACAGGGACATCCTTACTTTGGTTATGGCACAGCCCTGGCACCCACTGCTCTGCCTAGAATCCAGTATTTTTACAGGTGCTCAAACATTTTGAATATTAATTGTTATAGCAGCTAACCATTTTTTGAGACTTACTGTATACCAGATCCACTATTAAATGTACTCTCACATTATGTCTAAACCTTTGGGAGAATTCAAAAGGTGGTGATGATAATTACATTACCATTTCTATTTCTGAGTTGAGAAAGTAGAGTTTAGAGTAGTTAGGACTTTTTAAAAATATTTATTTTTTAGTTGTTGGTGGACACAATATCTTTATTTCATTTTTATGTGGTGCTGAGGTTTGAACCCAGTGCCTCACATGTGCTAGGCAAGCTCTCTATTACTGAACCACATTCCCAGCCCAAGTTAGGACATTTTTAAAGCATATAGCTAAGAATGTAGTRGTGTTAGGATTTTAAAGCACATGACCTGATCTTTGGACTATCCCTATTATTCATCACTGCCTTCTGGTACAAATATAGGAATGAATGTGAGATATGCTGTGATATTAATGGGTCCTCATGTTTGTTTTTAAGCATGTATGGGGACTTTGAAAAAATAAGAATGCTTGCTTTAAAGAGCAAAACTTATGGAAAGTTTTCCTTAATAGCCATTATGTCAAAGCACATAGGTTAGTTTGCTTTCAGGCTCGTTTTAATTTTCTTTGCCACTTTCTAGCTGCTAGTCCTTGGAAAAATTACTTGTTTGTTTTTTTCAATTGCAAATTGAAAAAAA